ATACGTTTGTACCTCTTAGGTCACGATACGTTCGTACCTCTTAGGTCACGATACGTTCGTACCTCTTAGGTCACGATACGTTCGTACCTCTTAGGTCACGATACGTTCGTACCTCTTAGGTCACGATACGTTCGTACCTCTTAGGTCACAATACGTTCGTACCTCTTAGGTCACGATACGTTTCGTACCTCTTAGGTCACAATACGTTCGTACCTCTTAGGTCACGATACGCTCGTACCTCTTAGGTCACGATACGTTCATACCTCTTAGGTCACGATACGTTCGTACCTCTTAGGTCACAATACGTTCGTACCTCTTAGGTCACGATACGTTTCGTACCTCTTAGGTCACGATACGTTTGTACCTCTTAGGTCACGATCCGCTCGTACCTCTTAGGTCACGATACGTTCGTACCTCTTTGTCCTCGTACCATTTGCTACTCGCAACACTTGGTATCTCGTACCTTTTGGTTACTCGCATCTTTTGGTAACTCACAACCTTTGGTAACTCATGACTCTTGGCAACTCGTACCCTTTGGATCACACTCCTTGATGGCACCTCTTGGTGGCATCCCTTGATGGCACCCTTTGGTGGCATCCCTTGATGGCACCCTTTGGTGGCATCCCTAGATGGCACCCTTTGGTTGCATCCCTATGGATCCTCGTTTATCATTGGGGGATCTCTTTAGGACGTGTGTCCATTGTCTAAGACTCAATCCATTGATCTCTGGTCGGCCCTCCTATATATAGGAAACCAAAGGCCATGTCCAAAAGGACACATCTCTTCCAAGCATCAGGGAGCTGGCACACTCTACTTGAGCTCCAACTGAGCTCTGTCCAGCTGGTTGAGCTTCTTGCTCGCATCAGCAAGCTGTGATACACTTCGTACAGCTTGATATCTTCATCTTGTACAATCTTTCTAAGTCCCTTGGTCTATTCATAGACCTAGACTTAGTCTTCCTTTGCTCCATTCTGATCATTCACTTAATCGAGCTTGGCCACGATCATTTCTCAGGATCGGGGACATGACAAACAAACCTTGTTCCAAGAGTTGATAATATTAGAGCCTTAGAGAGAGAGTTAGCAAGAAGGAGAAGAGAAGAAGAGCAACAAGTTCACTTAGAAAGATTGGGGTTAGTGATGGATCAGCATCATAATCAGCCTCAAGATGAAGAAGTTGATGATCTAGGAGCTGCCAACCTAAGGTCACAACGCCCACAACGCCTAGCAAGGACCATTGGCACTCATGATCAACCCAACATACATGGTCATAGAGCTGGTATCAGGGCTCCAGCTGTGGCGAACAATAACTTTGAGATCAAGTCCAGCCTGATCAACATGATCCAGCAAAACAAGTACCATGGTCTTGCACAACCAAGATCAATGGAGTCTCTGAAGATGCCTTCAAGCTGAGGTTGTTTCCTTTCTCTTTAGAAGACATAGCCCATATTTGGGAGAGAAATCTTTCAAGAGATTCTATTGAAACTTGGGATGATTGCAAAAAGGCTTTCCTTACTTAAATAATTTACTTTTAAATATTTTAATTTCTATTTATAGTAAGCCTATAAAATTAATAATAAATAATTTTAATTAGTATTTTTAAATCACTAAACAAACAACAATTTATTTTGACAGAAATATTATAAATATAATAACATACTAGTTTGTTTATAAATGTATTAAAATCTAGTAACAATATACCTCTACCAAAATCATAATAATTTTTTATAAATTTTAAAATCAGTAAGTATACATTTTTTGTCAGCTAGTATATACATATATTTAGTTTGAAGAAATACGATTTTAGATTTTAGTAGTATAGTAAACGTGTTAAGCAAAAAATCATGTAATAAATCCTCTTAGTTTTGTGACCAAGAAAAAAAATCCTCCTAGTTAGAAACGGAGCGAAAGTAAATAAAATTATTTAACAAAGAGAAAAATGAACAAAGAAGAAAGACATTGGAAGCTGGGTGTTGGGTCAATGCTTGTTTTAAAAATTATATTAAAAGTAAAAATTATATTAAAAGTTAATAATCAAATAATAATAAATTTTATCTGTAATTATCTATTTATTTTATATCATGGATAATCTGTTTGATAGATTCTACAGCCTAAAAAATAAATATGTTTCTTTATTTTTTTTAGTAATGGAAATAAATCTAAATCAAGTGATAGCATTTTGATGTAACGTTTAACTTTCAAAAATAAATCTACATTGACAGTGTTTGAAGATTTTAAAAATAAATATAGCTAAAATGTAAAATAGAATACATAATTATCTTGAATATATATACTATTTCTTTATTTTCGATCGCTTAGACGGGAAAAAGTAATATTTTGTTCTTTCTTCAACAATTTCTGATCCCTAATAGACCTCACAAACAAGCAAATTTTATAGTATGAACTAGCATAAAAGCGAACTCTTTTTATTGAAAATTATTATTTGTTTACGGTTCACATCTATGAATTGAAAGTTATGCTACGATTTTGAGCCAGGAAAGAGATTTTAAGAAATGGAAGATCTATAAAAAATTTACATATTGAAGAAAATCTTGAAGTCAACCAATCACAATTTGTTTTTAGATTTTTAGTAGAATATTTGATTTGATCCGTAAAAAAATAATAAATATAAAATTAATATTAAATAATAACATTTTATTAAAAATATATACTTTTTATAATTCTAATAACTAAAACAAAAAAAAAAACTTTCAAACCTAAATAGAATATAATATTTATATAAGTTATACATATAATTCATTTAATATATTTTTATATACGCATACAACGGATCGGATATCTATTTCTAAATATATTAGTATTTGTGATTTGTTTCATTTCTTACAAATATTGAATATTAGTATTTTCTTTGATTCCTTTAGGAGTTTTCGGTTTAAATAGAAACGAATAACAAATCAAATCAAAATTTACAGATATTTTGTCCAATCCTAGATGTCAATATTTTTCTTAAGTTAACTATCTTATGTACCTACTAATATTAGTCATTTACTTAATACTAGGTTGTTTCCTTCACCATGTGCAGAAATAAAATTTTTAAAATAAATTTATATTTAAAAATAAAATTTAATTAATTTTATATTTTTTATTAGATTATTAATTTTACATTAATTATATGTAAAAATTAAGAGAAAATAAACATTTTTATTTAAATATAGGACAGTTCTCTCAAATAGAACTTTTTTAGGTTTTTTCACAAAAATATATCTTAAATCTAAAATGACCACAATATCATTTTTTATTTTGAAAATTTCAATTTTTTAAAAAAGAAATTGTAATCCTATCCCCAAAACCCCACTTCTCAACTTTAAATAAAAAGGTTTACGATTAATTAACCCAAAGGATATAAGTGTATATTTACTTATTTTTTATAAAACATTTAAGTCTATCTTGGTCATTTTTATTTTAAGGTCTATATTTGTGATTAAAACTTTTTTTAGGTCTATCTTAAAAAAAATTCTTAAATTTATATTTAATAATATATATGTATCTTTTATCTTTTGGTTAAATTATATTAAATCAGATTCTATACTATTAAGAGAAATTTTGTTAGAACTATAATCATCAAAATATAAAACTAAATAATATTTCTAAAATTAATAGATGTTATAAATAAAGCTAATGGTATTGGGATTAGAAAATTTTAATTTAAAAAAAAACTGCATAAAACTTTGAAAAAAAATTATTAATAAAAAATATATAATTATTAAAATACACTTTAAAATATTTTAATATTTGTAATATTATTATATTTATATTTCTACTATTATATTATTTATTATCACTATTTTAATACAAATTTTTGTTTAATAAAACATAAAGAGTAATATAAAAATATTTTTGTTTATTTTAAATTATATTTAAGAATATGCATGTATATATTTAAAATTATAATCTTAGATAATTTTTTATCTATTTATTTTAATTAAATATATTAAATAAATTTGTAGAAAATTTTATAATTATCAAAAATTAAAATTAGACAATATTTATTAAATTTTTAAATATATAAGAAATTAATAATTTTACGATTAAACTTTAATAATTTTCAAAAAAATGTATACATTTTTGAAATTTTTGTAATAAAATTGTATAGTGTTAAAATATATAATTAAATGATATTTGCGTAATTTTTAATGCCATATTGGTACATATTTATTTTAATGATGATTTATTAGTTATTACATATTTTAAAAATATTTCCAAAAATATAAATCGACATTAAATGTAATATATGAGTTGTTACCATTTTCTATAAAGTTTTCCAACAATATATATGAACATTAAATGCAATTGTCCATGTCATATTTAATCATATGTCATATCATCAATTCTAGTAGACATGTCACCATTTTTTGTGAAACTAATTTTAGAGAACAATGTGGCAAAATCACTTCACAAATAATGTATAGGGGATGTATTTGACACATGTCATAATCTTATTAATTATACAAATAAGAAATAATTTAAAGCAAATATAGCACAGTCAGATATTCTCAAATAAGTCAATATAGAAAATAATCTTGACTCGGAAGGAAATGACAAAATCAAAAATCTTCTCTGTCAATTCACCATTCAAATTAGAAGCAACGTGGATAATGGATATGCTTGCCTTTTTTCTTTTACATATTTTGTGTTCTTAAGATTATGATAATTACTATATAAACCGAACCTTACTTTATGTACATGGATAACTTACATAGTTCAAATATAGCCATCTAGCACTCAAAAAAAGCAATTATGTATTGGCTAACAGATGGCAGAAATATATAAATTTTTCCATTAATTGGATTTCAAGTTTTTGTTGTATCTCCATTTCCATCACGTATATATATAACAACTACAGCACAATGAAGAACCCACAGTAATCATACTTAAACACACACACACAGAGAATCTATCAAACTAAACACGAGACACAAATGGAGACCGTAGTGTTGATTGTGGGTGCTGGACCGGCCGGTTTGGCAACATCGGTTTGTTTAAACCAACACTCAATCCCAAACGTGATCCTCGAGAAAGAAGACATCTATGCATCACTTTGGAAGAAACGAGCTTACGATCGTCTCAAGCTTCACCTAGCCAAAAACTTTTGCCAGCTACCTTACATGCCTCACGGTCCCGATGTTCCAACCTTTATGTCCAAAGATCTTTTCATCAAATACCTTGACGCTTATGTCACCCATTTTGACATAAACCCTAGATACAACCGAACCGTGAAGTTCTCAACGTTTGAGGTGTCCAATGACAAGTGGAGGGTAGAGGCAGAAAACAATGTAACAGGAGAAACCGAGGTGTATTGGTCAGATTTTCTGGTGGTTGCTACAGGAGAGAACGGAGATGGGAATATTCCGGCCGTGAAAGGAATTGATACTTTCCCCGGAATGATTTTGCATTCGAGTCAGTATAAGTCTGGTCGTAATTTTAAAGGTAAAAATGTTCTTGTGGTCGGAGGTGGAAATTCTGGTATGGAGATAAGTTTCGATCTATGTAACTTCAATGCTAATACGGCCGTCCTCGTTAGATCCCCGGTACGTAATTAATTAATATTGTCTTGTCTTTTAATTATATTTTCTGTATGCATGAACGCTAAAGATGTAACCTTGACTTGCATGTAAATGTGAAAGAATTTGCTATTAATTTATGTGTCTCAACGATAACTGATCATGTCCACTAAAACTATTTTACTTGACCTTTTGGCTACCTAGTACAATATGGAATTTACCAATATCTATGGTTTTCAACTTAACAAAGAAAACAAATCTTTAATTTTCTCAAAATCATAATACATGTTTGGCATTTACTTTTTAACTATGTTAATTTTTATTGTTACTATATAACATTTTATTCTCTAAATCTGCGCAGAGACATGTATTGACCAAGGAAGAGGTATACGTAGGAATGTCACTGTTGAAGTACTGTTCGGTGACAATGGTTGACGCATTGGTGATGATGATGGCTTCAACAAGATTATTTATGTACGGAGATCTCTCCAAGTACGGGCTCTTCCGACCAAAACAAGGTCCTTTCGCCACTAAACTCTTTACTGGAAAAGCTCCTGTCATCGATGTTGGAACTATCAAAAAGATTCTCGAAGGCGAGATTCAGGTACCTTCCATTGTCCATCAGATTTCATGTTCATCGTTACTAATTCTATTATTTCTAAATATCTTTTATATTAAAAATATTCAGTAAAAACTTAATTTATATATATTGGAAAAAGGAAGTATCAATACATAAAAGGAATAGGAAGAAGCAAAATAAAAGTATAGAAAAATGTAAAATTGTGTACAAGTTTCCAATAAAATGAAACCTTAGCTCTTTAAAACATGGAAATTTTGTTTTGTACATTTTGTATTATTTTTTTCCATATCGCAAAAGTGAAAACGTTATTTCTGGAAAATTGGCAAATTTTACTTTCTCTTACCATTCAAAATGAATATTAAGGTTCTTCTTTTTTTTCATTTTCCACTGGTCAAAGCTTCACGTGAGCTTATCGACTGACTAATGTTCATTTAGTTAAGTGGAAAGTTTATCATCTATTTATGTTGCATTCTTGAGTAGGTTATTAATGGAGGCATTAGAAGCATCCAAGGGAAGACTTTGACGTTTGAAAATGGACTGAAACAAGACTTCGATGCAATTGTGTTTGCGACTGGTTACAAAAGCTCTGTCTGCAATTGGTTAAAGGTATGCCAAAATCCTCTACTCAGTAAAAATTAAAACAGATTTTACTTAACTGGATGAATAAATATGATAATAATAATGTGTTTTGTGAAATTATTAAACACAGAACTACGAGTACATGATGAAGGAAGATGGTTTCCCCAAAAAACCAATGCCGAAGCATTGGAAAGGAGAAAAGAATCTATATTGTGCTGGATTTTCTAGGAAGGGAATTGCCGGAGCCGCCCAAGATGCTATGTATGTTGCCGAAGACATCAGATCCATCTTGGCAACTACCAAATATTGAAGACCTAGAGAGAAAATGTAGAAAATATTTGTGTCTATTTTAGTCTATAGTCTAGTGTTTCACCTCTCAAAATGCTATTCGTGGTTTGATTAGATAAGAAGATTGTATGTGTAATTTCAGTCGCAACATATGTTGACTATTCCGAAATGTGTACCAAGCATGCTTATTATCATCAGAAGAAAGGGTTCAAACCAGCTCTTGTGTGTGCGGATACTTTCATGGCTGGTTCTTTCGATCAGCTGAAAACAGAATGCCACCAAGGCTAGGATCCTCTTTTATGGAAGGTATGAAGCTTTATATCTTAGGATCACCTTTTTGCATGCTCGTAAGACCTTTAGTGCATGTGTTTCCAAAAGATATAGTAGCTCACATACATGAGTGTCTTTATAATTGATGGGAGATTTGATTGTGACGGTAAAGTCAATGTACAAAGTTTATGAGATTGTGTGTGATTTAGGCTCGAGGTCTGGTTTAGGACTGCGGCTGCAAAAATATGCACTGAAAAAGGACTATGGTCACTTAGTCGTAGCTTTCTTTATCCATCATCCTGTACATAGAAGTAGGTTTTCTCATAGTTCAATTCTCTGCGTGTCACTTATGTTTAGAAGTTTCGTTGGGCTATTTCACCTGTTTTGTCATGCACACTTTATTCGAAGTTAATGGTGCAATTCTATCAAACTATCTCACATAATTGTCAAAAAGCTCAAAAGTACGAAGAAATGGATCTTTAAAGGTCTCTTGTTTCTGTTTGCAGTTACTGGGACTATGCTATTTGTAGTTTTAGATTTTTAGTTCAATGACAGTGACAGAGGAAATGAAAAATAACAAAAATATGATATAGGGCATACTATGATAACAGAGTACAGAATGTGCTAATGTGAAGTTTTTGATTTTTTGCAGCTACACGGTGTCCATTCCTGTTAAAAATGCTGTTGAGGGAGTTGATACGTTTAAGAAAGAAAACTGTGATCTTATTATTGTTGACACCAGTGGTCGCTATAAACCATAAGCTACCTACCCTCTTTGAAGAAATGTGCCAAGTTGCTGAAGCAACGGTATTGTCTGTTGTCTCGAAGTCTTCTGTTATTCCTTAGTTGATGTTGCAAGCTCTGATCATGATCTATTGACTCTATTCATTTCACCTACTGAGCCTCGTTTCTAGGTACGTAGTCGAGATAGTCGGTATGAAAATTTTGCGGGTTTTTCCAATTGGACAGGTGAATTGATCTGTTTTTCACCTTTTTTAGTGTTGCCGCAGGTAAAAGAGTCCTATGATATTGTGGAATATGTAATGAAATCAAAACAATATTGGTGAGGACATTAAGGTGGATTTGTTATATGTTCCGTAATATACAAGTTTTGATCCACATTGTAAAATAGCTATAAGCATACAAACAAGAAATTCTAGTTATGTAAAATTTGTGTTATAATGTTTTATTAGAGTTTACTACTTGGGTGTTGAGGTATGATAAACTACAGTTGAATAGCATAATTACTTTTTTTTCTATGAACATTAGAAAGTATTATTTTTATGTATTTTTGAAAAATGATTATAAAATTTGAAGTTCTTAAAACAATTTTTTGTGAATAAAACAGTTTTTTAAATATGACAAACAGATTTTATATGATACTTGTGTTATTGTGCTGGATACAAATACTCGTTACTTATTTTATATCCGTTACTTGATCCGTATTTTTTTCCCATATACTCGTCAATATCAAATCAAATATCAAGTTGTTGAGTTTTGCTACTTACAAATAATCAAAATAATAATCGCAAAAATATTAGTAATTCGGTTTGATATAATTCGTTATTTGCGACTGAAAAGGAATGTTAACCATAAAAAAATAAACCTTAATAATATATTTCTTTGCTGTAAGAAGTAAACAAAAATTTTGTATCAAAATGTTTATGTATTTTGTTCCTTTTTCTTTATAATAGATACACATATTTTGTTTGAAATAACTTTGTGTTTTTTTTTCCAATTCAAATAAAGAAACTAAATTTCATAACCTTTTCTATAGGATATTATCTAACAAATAATTATATAAATTGGGAAGAATATCCAAATAGTTCATAAATATTTGTACATAGTGAATAATCTAGACAAATAACTTGCAGATACAATATTTTTGGACAACGATTCCAAGATAACAAATATCTGTTTTCAAAAAATTAAGTACAAATCCAAAAATTTATTATTCATTCAAGGTAAATTAAATATCAATCATAGGTAAAAGCGCAAGTACTTATTTTGCGTTCACTCTTGTTTGTGTCTACGTGCACATCGTTAGATTTATGTCTTTGTATTTTTATATAATTTACTTTTAAATATTAAATTTTTATTTATAGTAAGCCTATAAAATTAATAATATATAATTTTAATTAGTGTTTTTAAATCACTAAACAAACAAGAATTTATTTTGACAGAAATATTATAAATATAATAACATACTAGTTTATTTATAAATGTATTAAAATCTAGTAACAATATAACTCTACCAAAATCATAATAATTTTTATAAATTTTAATATCAGTAAATATACATTTTTTGTCAACTAGTAAATATATAAATTTAGTTTGAAGAAATACGATTTTAGATTTTAGTAGTATAGTAAACGCGTTAAACAAAAATTCATGTAAATCCTCATGTAAATAAAATTATTTAACGAAGAGAAAAACGAAGTAACGAACAAAGAGGAAAGACATTGGAAGCTTGGTGTTGGGTCAATGCTTGTTTTGCCGTAAGATTTCAGACAGACTTTCTCCTTTGGCTGCTCCGAAACACTTTTTGATCCCTAGAAGCAGAAGAATCGCAACTTGTTATCCGTCTCAGATCGGCGGCACAACGAACCAGAAACCTAAACCCGATCTTCAATTTTGACAGAGGGATCTGAGTGAGAGCATGTCGAAATCTCTACCGTATTCAGTCAAAGATGTTAACTACGACAATGCTAAGTTCAGACATCGATCTCCTTTAAAGGTTGGACCTCTATACAGATCTTGATCTTTTTGTGATATGGGTTCTCCCCAAAGTTCCCTCCTTTAATATTACATTTGTAGATAGGTTTGGTGTCTGTAGTTCTTGCTTAAATTTGCAAACTCAGAGTGAGGTAAGAATTTTGACAGGGTTGTTTTATGCGTTCAGGTTAAGATAGAGAACTTTCTTCAAACATATCATGTCCCTAGCATCAATATCTTTCTACTTTCTTTTACTTTTTCTTTACAATTTTAAGTAAAAAGTGTCACCTTTTTACTTTTGACGGGCTGACCAAAAGCCATCCTCATTTTGATGTTCTAGTTCATGTTTCATTTGTACAGTCTCTAGTTTTAGATAATCCTCACTCAATGTGTTAGGCTTATTGATGGAAGACTCTACACATACTATTCTAGAATTAGGTATTAATTATATGCTCTGAGGCAGTTAATGGACACGCAGAATGTGCTATGAGTCTAGTAATCTGATCCATATTATCTCTCTGTTCTGTCTTTGACCTATAGGTTCTTTCACAAAGCATGCTTACTCTTAGCACAAAACGGAACTACGCAAGCTGCAGCACTGGGAAGTTCCTAATACTAATATTAATCTTTGGAATAGCATGTCTACTACTGATGAGTAAAGGTCCAAATGATTCTACTATTAACGAAAAAGGGAAGGTCACTTTTGTTGGGGGTCTTAGGCTTGGGAAGCTTCTGAGAAAGCCACCTAGGCTTCCGCCTCGATTATCACCTGACGAAGGACAGTTAAGAGGTAATGGCTCGAACTCTGACCCAAAATGGGCAGCTAGACAGCAAAGCGTGAAGGATGCTTTTGACTATGCATGGTCTGGCTACAGAAAGTATGCAATGGGTTATGACGAGCTTATGCCTATTAGCCAGAGAGGTGTGGATGGCTTAGGAGGACTTGGTGCCACTGTGGTTGATGCTCTTGACACAGCTATGATAATGGGTCATGATAACATCGTTTCTGAAGCGGGAGCATGGGTGGAGGCTCATCTCTTGGAGAGGATTAGTCAAAAGGATCAAGTTAATCTGTTTGAAACTACAATACGTGTTTTGGGTGGGCTTCTAAGTGCGTACCATCTGAGTGGAGGAGATCAGAGTACGGTGAACATGACACATAACGGACCAAAACCAGATGTTTATCTTAATGTTGCTAAGGATTTGGCTGACCGTTTACTTTCAGCTTTCAAATCCAGTCCTACTTCAGTTCCTTATAGTGATGTTATATTGCGTGACTCAACCGCTCATCCAGCTCCAGGAGGAATGAGCAGTACAGCAGAAGTTGCCTCTGTACAGCTTGAGTTTAATTACCTCAGTGCTATCTCTGGTGATCCAAAGTATAGCACAGAGGCCATGAAGGTCTTAGCTCATATAAAGACTCTTCCAAAGACAGAAGGTCTTGTTCCAATCTACATCAGGTGATTAGTAGTAGTTTTGAACTTGGTTTCTGAGCTCTTGGGATCTGACATGTTGTTTCTACCTGGTGCAGCCCTCAATCAGGTGAATTTGTTGGTGAAAATATCAGGTTGGGATCTCGTGGGGATAGCTACTATGAGTATTTAATCAAGGTGTGGCTTCAGCAAGGAGGCAAATTGAATAGTAATTTCACATATTTGCATGATATGTACACTGAGGCCATGAAAGGAGTCAGGCATTTACTTGTGCGCAAATCTATTCCAAAAGGTCTTGTCTTTGTAGGAGAATTACCTTACGGGTCAAAGGGAGAGTTCAGTCCAAAAATGGATCATCTGGTAAGTCCCCATTGTCATCAAGTTCTTGAGAAATGATTCATTCAATCTTGTTTTTGGTCTAGGTATGCTTCTTGCCTGGTACTCTTGCTCTTGGGGCCACCAAGGGACTCACAAAGGAGAAGGCCCTGGCGGAAAATCTTTTATCCTTCGAGGATCTGGAGAATTTGAAACTTGCAGAAGATCTAGCAAAAGCATGCTTTGAGATGTATGAAGTAACTGCCACTGGCCTTGCTCCAGAAATTGCTTACTTCCACACACAGGTAAGTTATGCTTCTTGTACCTTTTCTCCGAAACTTGAGTCTTGATCCTTCTCTTCTTGTTTTATTAAGTTGTTGGATTCTTATGAAGCAGGACTACAATGAGGATGGTCTTGAAGGTGGGAATAAGAGTTCAATGTATGCAAAAGACATAATCATACACCAGGCTGATCGACATAATCTACTGCGCCCTGAAACCGTTGAATCACTCTTTGTCCTCTATCGTATCACAAAAGACACAAAGTATGAAAACTATTCATAGCTTTTCTCTCATTATCGGAGTTCTTGAGGACTATACTACTCTTCAGTGCTAACACGTTTCTGAAAATTGCAGATACAGAGATCAAGGTTGGCAGATCTTTGAAGCGTTTGAAAAGTACACAAAGGTGAAGACGGGTGGATACACATCATTGGATGATGTAACGGAAGTGCCTCCTCGTAGGAGAGATAAGATGGAGACATTTTTCCTTGGTGAAACATTGAAGTACTTATACTTGCTCTTTGGAGACGACTCGGTGATTCCATTGGATAAGTTTGTTTTCAACACCGAAGCTCATCCACTTCCAATAAAACATACCTGAAAGGTTTAGTTGTGAAGACTGCTTCAGAAAACACACACATACACAAATTGGAGGGAATTTATGTATAGCAACAGTACCAACTGCAGAAGAGGATAGTTCGCTGAGAGAGAAAACAATCATAACCCTTCGATGTAATATAAGTTTCGGCATTTTAAAACCATGAACTTTCTTTTAACTTTCAGACGTTTTTGACAATACTACTCTTTTTCATTGAAATGAACTGTAATCAGACGATATTGAGATGAGGTACGCTTAAGGTTTGTTCTATATATACGATTTGAAGTATGGAACACACCAAATTGGGCACACAGAGAAATAAGATACTGGTGTAAATTTCCAAATTCATAACTTGATAAAGGACGACAAGAGTTGTATAAGCTTACACACATTCGAGTGCAGTTGTCAACATAAAGAAAAAGAGACATCAATCACCACAAGAACTGATATGAAACCACAAAAACTGAATATGAAACCACTACGACAAATGTGGTTGCAATTGACTAGCTCAATCAAGCCTTTGCTTTTCCTGCCTGGATAGATTGAAGCCGTTGTTGTAACTTCATCATCTGCAAGAATTTGATTCAATGAATTAAAATCATGAGATCTTCAACACCAGTTTCAGCAAATGAACAAGTTTCATTTGTGTCCATATGGTCTCTTTTCTCTCAAACAACAGATTCTTATATGGTGCTAAGTCCAGTCAATAAGACAGGAGCGAACTCAGTTTTAATGTTCAAGTCTTTCTTCTAGGACAAGCATAAATCTGACACAGAAAACGTCTACCTAAGTATATTTTTAGAGCTTAGTAATTGAGTATCAATGTTGGGACTATCATTGGTGTAATAGTGTTAGTATCCATGCTGGAAGGCATTCAAATACGTATATAATCTCTGAGAGGGATGTCTTACTGCTTCTCTCTTGCTGTTTTGTTGTCCTTCATTATCTTGGATAGATGCATCAACCCGTTTCCTGCCAACAGTATGCATTATGCTTGAGTTCATGACGCTATATAGCTCAAAACAAGTGATCAACATCCTCATAGTTGTTATATAGCTAAAACACAAGACATGCTTTACAGAAGTGCTACACTGCATACGAGCATATCCATATTCTCACAGCATGTCGTTGCGCTTTTGGCTACTGATATCATCATCGTTACTCTAACTAGATAGTAATAAACAGCATCCACTAATAGCCTAGAACAAAAAAGTTCTCTTTTTTACTTATTTCAGGTTGAGATAACAATCCAATAGGTTAGTTACTTTTCAACGACTGAACATATATTGAAATGGGTTTCTCATGTTGAATGAACAAAGACCAAACTTAGCTAGATTTGCTTAAATCCCATAGATAAGAAAGAAACTTACAGTTCAGCAGAGATGTACTCAATACGTTTGCGAACATTAGCATTAGCTTCAGCCAAATCCTGTTTGACAAGCACTGGACCGATCAACTTGTAGACGTTTGCGTCTTCTTCTAGCAAATCCAACTCCTGTATAAACAGAACAACAACATACAGAAAACTTAAGGCTGCAAGTAAAATGAGGGAACAAAAGAGAAGCAAAGCATTACTTCAAGCCTAAGCTTTTCGATTAGACTTATAAACAAGTGTTGAAACTAAAACCCTAATGTCTCAATGTATACCTTAAGCACGAGCTCGTTCTCACCAAGTTGGATCGTATACTTCTTCCTCAGCTGGTGATCCTTGGCAATATCTGAAACATGAACGATGCCAAGTAAACTTAGAAACCAGTCAAAAAAGTTCTCTACTTTCGAATCCTCACTGAAGAAAATTAGGGTTTCCCGCCTCCATAAATAAAAAAAAGCAAACTCAATGATTGAGGAGAGGTGAAAAGAATCTACCTTTCTGGATTTTGGCGAGGTCATTGGCCTTAGACTCTAGGTCTCTCTGCAAATCTCGAAGAGCCATTGATGAACTCATCTTCGCCTTCCTCTTCTTCTTCTTCCTCAACCCGGTGGTTTATTGTAGAATCAGAGTCACGGATCCACTAAAGAAGAACAAAACGCCGTGTCGTCGAGAAAGTCCCACTGTTTGCAAAAAGGGCTAAGTGGCCCGTGGAATTTACTTGGACCTTTTCATGGCCCAATATGCTTTTTAAATCAAGAGCAAGTTGAGTAAACTGGTTTTTGGTTCGGCTCTATCCATTGTGAACCAGATCAAAATAGATAAACGGATTCTTCAAAATTAATAAAATACGTCAATTTTTTTATAAACCATTTAGTGGATGGTCCATAACCATACCTTAGGTGACAAGGCCTCCGAGTTAGATCATAGGCGGCTAAGGCATTATTTCCTTTTTCCTTATATTGCTTATTTTTTATAATCCTAGTTGGTTTAGGTTTTAGATAATTTACATTTTACCATATTTTGTAATTCTTATGTAAATGGAGCTTATGATCAATGAATAATATAACACTTTTACACAATTCTCCCATTAGTTTACAACACGTTATCAGCACGATTGTACTTTAAACCCTAAGCTAAAAACCCGACCAAAAAAAAAAACCTAGCTCTCACCAACGATAACCCATCAGCCGCCATCCGCTCTTTCCTTTTTCCCGGCGAACCCTAATCCGCGATCCTCCTTCTCAAATTCAAACCTGACAGCCGCTTGTTCGAGGATCTTAGTTCCTGGAATCCGATCAACAAATCCCAACCGAAGGAAGCTCTCAGCCGATCCCGACCACAATTCTCGACAGCTCCAACTCGATCCGATCAAGCGATACGACTCGTTCTAGCTCGAGGTTCTTCTTCTCTTTAGTGGTCTGATTCAACCCTACAAATTCTAAAGTATTTCGATTAAACCCTAAAACTTAATGATCGAACCTTAAAACCTAAAACCATTTTAATGGCATCCGATTATTCTTGTCAAACCCTAAATTCTATCCCCTAAAATTTAAACATCAAACCGCATGAATGTACATACATTCTATGCAATAGATTTGATTCCCTAAAACTTATGTTGGTTGATTTATTGCTTGGTCGATATAAACCCAAATTTTTGGAATCGAAAACCCTAAACCCTAATTTTGAATCCCATTTTGATTTTTGTTCTTGATTGATTAAATTGTTTGATGTTTTGAGGTTTAGGTTGATATATTGATTGTATGTTTAACCTAATTCCGAATTTGAAACCCTAAAAGGCCTTGAAACCTTAATGAGGAATAGTGAGATGAGACCTCCTGGATCAGCCCCATTACCAGAAGCCAATAAGGCTGTAGAGGAAAAGAAAGATTCCAAAGAAAGATTCCAAAGAAAGCAACCACGTCTATGATAATAGACGACATGGTGGTCGAGGCAATTACAGCTCGTACGGCCTTGAGCAAGGGAACCACAATAACCGTGGTCGTGGTCCCAGCTATGGCCGTGGACGAGGCCGAGGTCGGGGTACATATCTAAGCCATCTCACTTGACCAATCACTCGACCAAAGCTATTTGCAACAGATGTGGAATGGGGAACCATTGGGCCAAAGCATGCAAAACTCCTAGACATCTCGTTGACCTCTACCAAGAGAGTCTGAAAGGCAAGAATCCAGAGGCCCATTTGGTCCTAGATGGAGATGGTGATTTAAACCATGATAATTATGATCCCATAAGTTATGAAACTTCAGATTGTTTAAAAGATTAATTTTGACATATTGTTTGTTTTGTTTTGATTCTATGTTTTCTTGTTTTGAATTTTATTACTATTGTTATTTGATGATTTGAACTTAATAATATGAAAGTTTTATTTATGAAGTCTTTGAAATTATGATTATTATTATTATATAGAATGAAAGATGAGATGAGTATACTTGTGGTGGATAGTGGATCAAGCCACACAATTCTTAGAGACAAAAGATACTTCATCAATCTCACAATGAAAAATGCCAATATACATACAACTGCGGGTGTAGCTAGCCTTCTTGAGAGCCACGCCAGGCATGCTTATTGATGCCTAATGGCACACATCTAGAGATCTCTAATGTCTTATATTCACCCAGCTCTAAAAGGAGCTTATTAAGTTTCAAGGACATAAGATTGAATGGGTTCCACCTTGAAACAAAGGACGAAGGAAATAAAGAGTTCCTTAATATTTTACTGAAATCGCCCAAGGCAATAAGAGAATCCTAGAAACTATAGCTGCAATATCTACTGGTCTATACTATGCAAATATCAGTTTGATAGAGGCTAATGCCTGCAAAAATTTCACTCTATGGCATAACCGGCTTGGCCATCCCGGTTCTAGTATGATGCGTAAATTGTTAATGAATTCTCAAGGGCACACATTAACAAGAGTTATTCCAAAGAATCTCACATGTGTAGCATATACACAAGGGAAACTCATTACTAGCCCATCACCAGTCAAAGTGACAAAGAAATAATAAATTTTCTGGAAAGAATTCATGGAGATATATGTGAACCAACACACTCACCAAGTGGGACATTTTGATATCTCATGGTCCTGATTGATGCATCGACCAGATGGTTGCATGTTTGCCTACTATCCACACGAAATTTGGCATTTGCAAGGCTGCTTGCTCAGATCATACGAATGAGAGCACATTTTTCAGATTTTCCTTTAAAGACTATACGTCTGGATAATGCTGGTGAGTTCACATCCCCAGCGTTTAATGATTATTGTATGTCCATGGGCATAAGTGTGGAACACTCTGTGGCATGTGTCCATACAAAGAACGGCTTGGGCGAATCTTTTATTAAACGCATACAGCTGATTGCTAGACCATTACTCATGAGGTCTAAACTCTTTGTATCAGCGTGGGGACATGCAACAGAGTTAATTCGCATCAGGCCATCTAGTGAGCATAAATATTCACCATCCCAATTGCTTTTGGGTCATGAGCCAGACATATCCCATATTAAGACTTTTGGATGTGTCGTTTATGTTCCAATTACTCCACCACAGATAACCAAAATGGGACCATAGAGAGACTCTCCAACGATTATTAAGTATCTTGATCCAACCACAGATGATCTATTTAAGGCCAGATACGCAGACTCACACTTTGATGAGTCCATATATCCGACCTTAGGGGGAAAGAATAGCGGTTAGTAAAAGAAATAAAATGGTCTCAACCATCAATATCTTGGCAAGATCCTCGGAACAAAGAATGTGATTTATAAGTCCAAAAAATTATACATCTACAAAAGCTAGCTAATGAGTTGCAAGATACATTCGTTGACCCGAATAGAGTGACGAAGTCATACATATTGGCTTGTAATGCACTAGTAAGAATAGAAGAGCAAGAGGGACAAAGTCAAGTTGCTACAGAGTCTAGACAACGGTTGAAACGTGGTAGACCAATTGGTTCCAAAGAAAAGAACCCTCGGAAATCAAAGGAAGGTGCTGGAACCGAGGTTGTGGTCGAGGGAACCCAAGACATGGATGGGCCGGCCGTGCCGACCAAACTGGTCGAGCCTAGTGGGCCGGACGAACCGAATGTGCCAAACAATGTGGCTAGGGACGCTGAGCTTCATGGTACACCAGGTCCTAATAATAGTGAGATCTCTATCAATTATGTCATGTCTGGAATACAATGGAATCGTAAAGATGTCGACATTGATGATATATTTGCATACAAGGTAGCACTTGAACTAATGGATTTAAATTAGGATCAAGAACCCACGTTCATATATGAGTGCACTCAACGATCAGATTGGATCAAATGGAAAGAAACTATAAACGTGGAGTTAGAATCATTAAGAAAGAGAGGCGTTTTTGGCCCTATAATCTTGATACCAAGTGATGTGAAACCAGTTGGACACAAATGGGTGTTTGTGAGGAAAAGAAATGAGAAAGGAGAAGTAGTGAGATATAAAGCACGGCTTGTTGCACAAGGATTCTCACAAAGACCAGAAATAGACTATGAGGAGACTTACTCCCTTGTGGTGGATGCAACTACATTCCGATTTCTAATCAGTCTGGCCATAAAAGAGAATTTGGATTTATGCCTAATGGATGTAGTAACTGCATATCTATATGGTCCACTGGATAATGAGATTTACATGAAATTGCTAGAGGGCATTGAGCTCAAAAATAAGAAAGGTTCCCGAGAACATTATTGTATAAAGCTGAACAAATTCTTGTATGGATTGAAGCAATCAGGTCGAATGTGGTACAATAGACTAAGTGAGTACCTAGTGAAAGAGGTCTATAAGAATGATCCAATAAGTCCATGTATCTTTATCAAGAAATTTGACAATAAGGGCTTAGTAATCATACCAGTATACGTGGATGACTTGAACATCATAGGAACCTCTGGAGAGATTTCCCAAACAGTTGAATATCTCAAGAAAGAGTTTGAGATGGAAGACTTAGGAAAAACAAATTAAGTTTTGTTTGGGATTACAGCTTGAGTACATAAACAATGGAATCCTTGTGCATCAAATGGCATATACAGAAAAGGTACTCAAGAAGTTCAATATGAACTAGGCTCACCCATTGTCGAGTCCAATGGTCGTAAGGTCTCTTAGCCCGGAGAAGGACTCATTTGAACCAAATATGAAGGACGAGGAAGTCCTTGGTCCGGAAGTGTCATACCTAAGTGCCATTGAAGCTTTAATGTATCTGGCTAGCGACACTAGACCAGACATTTGTTTTTCCGTGAATCTATTGTCTAGATTTAGCTCTTGTCCAACTCAAAGGCACTGGAACGGGATCAAACACATACTACGTTACCATCAAGGAACAAAAGATCTTGGTTTGTTCTTTACCAATCAGTCCAAAGAAAGTTTGGTTGGTTATGCTGATGCGGAATATTTATCTGATCCACATAATGCTAGATCCCGGACAGGATATGTCTTTACACATGGTGGAACTGCCGTTTGTTGGTGGTCCACGAAACAGACTTTTGTTGCCACATCGTCCAACCATCCAGAGATCTTAACAATGCATGAGGCAAGCCGTGAGCTTGTTTGGTTGAGGTCTATGACCAACCACATCCATGTAGACAGTGGTTT